TGGTCTTGAACTAAAATTTACAACCAAACTCCAACTATCTGGGTGGCAGAAGATTAATCATGTACAGGAAATCAATAACTTCAGTCTTCTTGATTCACCCATCTTTTTGATGATAGAAGACATATCAGCATGCTTAGCTGGTCTGGTTTTCAGTGTGGTCATGGAAGCCATTTCCAATATTGGAACATACCACCAGTGCTTTGAATAATTTAATAAGAACAATATAACAAACTTAATGCTCAAAATACTCAACAAGACTTCAGTGTAACAAAATAACCAATGTGGGTTGAAGGTGTCATGCCAGATGTAATCATAAGAAAAACGTTTTCCAAAATAGGAATCAGAATTGCTGTCCAAGTTGTTAATGGTTCAGGATCATAATGAGCACTGGCCCTTTGTGATAATTGCATGCTATTCCTCTATGGCTAGTAATGAAAATCTATTTCCGAATGAAAGCTGAAGTCACACTGAAAGAATTGCCTGTTGAAGGCAAGATTTGTTTATAGTAGATACATTGTTAACAAAATACACTGGAAGTAATGTCATATTATGTCTTAAATATGAAAGAGATTGAATTAACATAAACACAGTATTTTGAATTTTTTTTCAAAATTAGCTCTCTAAACTTAAGGATGTGTTTCTGTGATATGGGATGGCTCTCAGCAGAAAAGTTTCCTTAGGGCTTGCTTTATGTCTTTGTTTCTAAGACTGTAGATAAAGGGGTTCAGCATGGGTGTGACTACAGAGTACATGACTGAAGCTATTGCACTGGACCTGGAGTTTTCAACAGCGGCAGAACTGAGATAAACCCCAAGACCTGTGCCATAGAACAAGGAAACCATGGAGAGGTGAGACCCACAAGTGGAAATGGCTTTATATTTTCCACCAGCTGAGGAAATTTTCAAAATGGAGGACACAATCTTCATGTAAGAGAAAAGGATCCCAGTGAGTGAAATAACACACAGAAGTGCACTTACTAAATACATCACTAAGACATTGAGGAAGGTGTCAGAACAAGCAAGTTGGAAGACCTGATTAAGTTCACAGAAAAAATGGGAGATTTCCAATTCTGTACAAAAATGCAGTCGCAGAACCAACAAAGCATTTAATAGAGAGTCCAGTAACGTCAATACCCAGGAGGCCAGAAGCAGGAGGCCACAGAACCTTGGGTTCATGATAACCATGTAGTGCAGTGGGTGACAGATGGCCACAAACCGGTCATAGGCCATCACTGTCAATAGGAAGTTGTCTAAGCCCCCAAAAAGCAAGAAAAAATACACCTGAGTGATACAGTCTTCATATGTAATTACTTTGGTCTGCATCTGGATGTTCAGCAGCATCTTTGGGACAGTGGTGGAGGTGAAACAGATGTCAGTAAAGGAGAGGTTGGAGAGGAAGAAGTACATGGGTGTGTGGAGGCGGGAGTCCGTGGTGATGGCCAAGATGATGAGCAGGTTCCCAGTGAAGGTGACCAGGTACATGGAGAGGAACAGTCCAAAGAGGAGGGGCTGCAGCTCTGCCTCTTCAGAAAGCCCCAGAAGGATGAATTCTGGGAAATGGGTGTGGTTTCTTGGTTCCATGTAGCTGATGAAACTATTTGGAAAGAGGAAAGAGCATTGACAACTATGCCATATGCTGTTAACAACAGTTTTAGGGATATACTCTCATTTATATTTTAAACAGTTAATTATTCAATCCCTATTCATATCTGTATATCTCGTGTTCTTGAATCTCATGTGCTCAATACTCACTTTGATGCTGAAACTGTCTAGCTGTCCTGTCTTCTAATGCATCTTTCCCTAAACATTATATTGTTCTACAAATGCCTTAAGACTTTGATTGTTCATTCAACAAATGTGTTTGGCCAAATATTTTATGTCAAGTGTTCTTGAAAGTTGTGGGAACTTCAGTAAAAATAAATAAAAATTCTTACC